CCAAATGAATTACCCAAAGTGGTATTTGTTTATTTAAAATTGTCAAATCATTCTCCACGAATGGTTAATCTTCTATAGCTGCGCTTTCGCAGCGAGGAGGACATTTTTACCCCTATTGCATTCGTCAATAAGCAATTTGACCGAATCTTAGGTAGTCAGCAGACTCAAGTAGCCGCTTAGAGGCATTGTACCCGCAGTCACTTGGTCTTCGATAATGACTTAACCCTTTCGATCCGAACGGGACACATGCGTCGCTGCAGAAGTTTGCTCATAACTAAATCAGAAACTACATATTGGAATTGGTTTAAATATCACCCGTCTGGTATTTTGAGTTTCAGATAATGATTCTAAATGATTTTTGTGTAGAAAACTTAGTTCTCTTCTGAAAATGATACTACTGTTTTTATGGGAAATACATACATATGTGTCCCGAAAGCATTTTCTAGGACCCCCTGGAGGGAGGGGGTGGTCCTTTTATAAGTGTTATAAGTGTTATATTTGTATAATATATCCCCAAGCTAAAAAGATAACTATAACCGAGATTTCTCTGCTGGTTTCTTTCAGAATCGAGAGGGTTAAGGACCTTCTGAAAATTAAAATTTTAATCTACAGAAGGTTGGTGTAATAGAAGGGTAGGGAGAAATGGTCAATTTGGCGGCGTTTTAGTGAAATTTTAAATTATCGAGCCCCGCCAAATGTGTTTGTTTTTTTTTTCTTTACAACTAACAAAGCAACGGATTTGATGTTTTGTTTCACTTCCAATATTTGCCCAGCTGTGAGTGATCAAACTTAGCATGTGTTTCAGCAAGTACATTAATTATTTTCGCGCTTTTTGCAGTACAAAGTACAAAGTGGATTAGTGGTTTAATTGAAATTATTAAGTATGTGTTAAATAAAAAAAAGTATGTTTTTGTCAGTTTGTTTCTGGTTGTCGAAAATCATATATTTTCTAATATTATTGATCCCTCAAATCATACAAATACAAAAAATATTTACCCTAAAATTGGTTATTTTTTTCCAAGTTATTAACAAGGCGCCGCCAGATTGGCCATTTCGCCCACAGTGCGTGGAGGATTTAAATACATCTGAATATTCAATGTTTTTTTGTTTAATTTCTCAAGGGAGCAAATGGATGACCCTGTAGTTTTAATTCGTGATAAATACCCAAACGCTTTCAAATTATGTCTGCTGTGCTGCAAATCCCTTTCCTCCGTTTCTGTATGAAAATAAGACTTAAAAAGGCTTAACTCCATAATACTTCAAGCGTGACCAAACTGCGTTACTACCAACAAATAAATTATTTAAGTCATAGACAAGTCGATAAACTATTTCGGCTCGTTTGTTTTTTTTTGTTTGGTTTCCATTTTCGCTGTGTCATATTTAAACAATGCACAGCCAAAAGTCTCGTGGGTCGTTGATATTGATTATTCTCATGAATTTATGTAGTTATTTTCTTGCACTAACAAACTTACTGCAACATAGTGCGCTTGTTTGCTTACCAACACGATTTCTTGGGAAATAAAAAAAAAAAGAAGGAATTGTAGACGAAAAACAACAATAAAGATAACAACGAAAAAATCATGCTGAAACGAAATGATATTGCAGCAATAAAATATTGCCAAACTAACGAATTCAATTGGCTTGTAATGTGAGTTAACGTGCCATATAAAAAAAAAAGTACTAAAAAGGTAGTAAATGTAATAAATTATCTTTTTTTTTTTATTCTTTCCAGCTGCATTTGATTTAGTTATGCTACAATTTTTTCCAAAATGTTTAATAAGAAATATTTATCATTGTTGGGCTTTTATTGAAATTGAAAAGCGTAACTACAGTTAGCTTAAATAAAACCGCAATAGAAAATGCATTCAAAATCATTGACCGGGTTTTTTTCTTTTGTTGTTGTACATATATGTAGTAAAATGAGGAACTCATTACTTTGCCTTGTAATTAAATAGTATATTTGAGGGCATAATTAAGTACAATTGCTTTCTAATGAACAAAAACCGCATCAGCATGTGCAGAGTTAATAGAGTACGCACTAAAAAGTACATATTGTAGGTACATTAGGGTGGCCACAAAATCCATGTGGGGGGAAAAGTAAAGTCGGAATTTGCATGCTCTCATCCGCTGGGATTGTTTTATACTAAAAAAAAACACTTTTTCTAGAAATGGTGTAGAATTCTTGAAAATCAAAACTTTTGAGTGGGAAAACCCTGTTTCTCCTCAGGAGATTCCAAATAATAATATCTACACAATTATTTATTTAACCATTTTTTCATAGTCACTATATTTTATAGGGCCGCCCAAAACCCAAAAAATGTAATGGGGGTACCAATAAAAATCTTTAGTATTAAAAAATTATAAATAAACAATTGAGTATTATTATCGGAAGTCTCCTGAAAAGAACCAGAGTGTTCCTATCAAAAAATTTTGATTTTCCAAAATTCAATACTATTTCTACGACAAGTTTTTTTCCATATATATATATATATATTTTTTTTTTTTATAGAACAATCCTAGGAGTGAGAGCCTAATGTATATATACCGCGAGTACAACAACATGCCAACATTTGCAGTCAATGGAAATGAATGAAGCGCAACCAATGGTGCACACTTTCGTTACAAACCGCTGAGCAATATAACATTGAAAATGGTAACCTAATATTGTTAAATAATTTCAGCATAAATAAATATGCGTAACTACATACTTAGATAGTTAAATGCATAAAGCATAAAAATCACATAACTGAGAGGCAGGCATTCGACTTTGTCATTCATAAAAAAAAAAAAATTGTGATTTATCTATGAAACATCTACACAAACGATTCCGTGCTTTTTGAAGTCACGCTTAGTGAATTTTAGCAAAAACTTCGACTTGTTAGCACATTCTCGACCAAGACTTATGATGTAGCTGCAAGTGTATACACACATACATACATATTACTGAAAACCATAAATTTTATTTATACAAAAAATTAGCAAATCCTTTGTCATCCGAACTGTGTGCGAACCCCTTTATTAATTTCTTTAATTTTATTATGTATGTAGATTTTATTTATTTGCTAAAAAAGTCGCTTTTTTACCCACAGCAGATGATGTCATCTCTGTTGAATTTTGTTTTTCTATTTGTTCTTGTTTCCTGCCAACAGTCGCTAAATTCGTAGTCTATTGATTTATTTAATACATATTCTACTAACTACTTACATACATACATATACATACATATACAAATTTACAGCTGTTTGCACATAAATTATAATTATTGAGTAAACAGGGAACACCCACAAGGCCCTCTAATGAAAAAAATACATTTTCTGCCAAGCCAGCAATTTTCAGCAGAGCTAAATATTTATGTATATAAGCCCAATAAATCTTTGAAAAAAGTGTGATGAGCAGACATTTATGGTGATCTCAAAAAGAACAGCTTCAACTTCTACCCGCTTAGCCTGAAGCCCTTCTGACACTGAGTTTGGCACAACGCCGTCTCAAAAATAAATTCGACAAGGTATGACGGAAATTCGTTCCAAAATACATCATCTTCTCACCCTGTCGGAAGAATCAACCAACACCACCAAATGGTAATTTTTCATAAGCGATTACGTATTCTAACTCTATCTAGTTCACTAGGATCGACAATATCTATTAACCAAAATATGAGCATTTAGCTAAAATTCGTTTTTGATTAACAAAGATTTTATTAGCATTGGAAATGAAGTTAAATAGAATAAAGGCAACGAGTACTTTCTTTAAACATATACATATGTTGGTAAAATTTTAATGCTAAGTGTAGAAATCACACTTGCTAGCAAGACTTTATTCAAATTAATGTATTAATATCAAATAACATCGATTGAATGCTACTTTGAAGTACTCAGTATCGATACTTTCAAAAATCGGGTACTGTCGTTCCTTTTTGAGAATCAAGTTTTGAGTACTTTTAGCATCGATACTGCCCAATTGCATTTTAACGGAGGAGAAGCTCGGCCAAACACTATTATATGTGTAAGCGCCAATCCATTTATTGTTATGGTAATTCACTACTTCGTCCTGATTGATGGCTGTGTCAACCGATTCAAAGGAAAACAACTACCACGAAATAAATTTTGAATGGTCACATCATCTTCACTTCTGGTTTCTGTATCGTACGTGAGATGTAGTATGTATATGTATACATAAGACAAAATTTTTGTTTAAAGGGCAGATAAATTTTAAAACCTATTTGAGGAAATGCTCCTTAGACGGATATTTTTGTTCTCGAGTTTTTCCAAGACTAATGCTGAATTTCCACTAGGCATTGAAATGGCGAAAAATTGGTGCTATTTAAAAAATTCCCGATGGAAATGAACTTAATGACTTTTTTTAATGTAATGACTTGAATATTTTTTAATGCCAAACTTTGCCATTACAATTTTTGCCATTTAATGTCTAATGAAGTCCAGCATAACACAAAGCAATGTTGTTATTGTCAGCCTATTCCTCTGAGTCATTTATAAATTTCCTCCTTTCCGAATCATCTCAGCATTAGGATGGACAGTAAAATCTACTCCGCCATTTTCGAGTTATTAGTTTTTAATTTCTCGGCTTTATTTAGGTCTGTTTTCACTCAGGATGGATGATCAAATAAACAAAAGGAAAGAAGAATTATCCAAATCGGTCAAGTGGTTCTATAGTTTTTGAAAGAATATTGGGGTTTTTCACAATATTCTCGAGCTTTTGTGAGATTAACACACATCTATATATTTCTATCAAGTTCCCTATGCGACAGAGGTCGATCGTTCTTTCTGAGTAGACGTGCATAAAAAATATATATAAATATGTATATATGTCTGTCAGGTACAAATTTGCTTGATGCCACGAAACCAACAAAATTTTTGCAATTTCATGAACACTGGAAATTTAAAAACTGGTGTAAGTATGCCTCTCAACTGCCTATTTTAAAGATTTCACTGTATTCAAAAATCGCAATTTCTACTAAATACATGCTAACTTATATAATTTACCTCTTTTCTCCCTTATATGACTGTCGTATTGGGAGTTACTGCGTGCGAAATTAATCGCTGCCATTGTAGATTGGAATTCTTGGTATTCGTCTTGAGTACTTTGTTGTTGTAGTGTCTGATATCCTGTCAGACTCTTACCGAAAGTACTGCTGGCAGTTGTCGTTGAGGGGTTTGTCGTCGGTGTATGTATTGCACTTGCACTTGAACTCGGACTGTGACTCTGACTCACACCGGCTGCTGCCTGGCTTGGCTTCACATGTGTGGGCACAATAACCAGATCCTTGGCAGCCACACCCTCCGTATCTGAGTCGTCACTTAGTTCACTTCTTAGTGGGCTTTCGCCCTTCGATTGTCTAATCGTCGTACCGGCGATACGCACATTCGCACCGGATAAAGCTAAACCGGTTGGGCGCGGCGACTTCCCGGCATTAACTTGACGCTGTTGTTCCTCATATAATTCACTACGTTCTTCACTCGCGTGCTTACTACTGGTCACTTTCGTTGTTGTTGTTGTCGTTGTCGTTTTCTTTTTTCTGCTGACAACTCGTTGCGATTCTTCCGCGGAAGAACCGTGCGATTGGCTCGTCTCTAATGTACTAGCCGTATGCGTCGTACCAGTCGCTATTTGTCCTGTCGCGGTTTCGCCTGTTGGTGTACTGATTTTTACTACTTTGCTTGGAGGCGTTGTTGTTGATTCCGTCATTTGCCATGGTGCTTGTTGATGATATGCTTGCTCTTGTTGTTTTTGTTTTTGTGTTTCCATAACCATATTGCCTACACTGCTTTCGGTTTGCATTTGTTGTTCCTGCCGTTGCCGTTGCTGTTGGTAATACCGTTGGCCCGACTGTTTCGGTTGCGTTTGCTGTTGATGAAGCTGCTGCTGGTGATGGTGGTGGTTGTGGCGGTGCGTGCTACCAACCGTAATGTCAATGTTACCAGGTGACGTTTCCATCGCAACGTTATACAATGTACCTGAAGCATGGCCACCGCCGCCGTCTGGACTGCGTGCCAATTGACGTATGCGCGCTTGCACCGCCGAGTCAGTAGTGTCGTAGATTTCGTGATGTGTGCTGGATTCGTTAGTTTCATCCTCCAGACGTATTAGTATACGGCGACCACCCGCTGTCATGTCGACAGTGCGGGGTGGCGTCGCGCTTGTGCGTCCGCTTACGGAGCGTGGCACGGAACCTTCACGCTCGCTTTCCGAGGACTCAAAGAACGGGCGATTCTCGCGCTGCGGTGAGCAACGTGGTGACACATAGCCTTCACCGTGACGAAATATTTTCTCTTCGTGCTTGCGCCCATCACTTGTCATGGACGATGTTACAATGGTACGTACACCATCGACAGCATGCAGCTCACGCACTGTCTTCTCGGACTCCAAAAATTGCGCAGTTGCGCTTTTCGGATCACCAGTAGTGGTTGGATTAAACGGTTGTGCGCGACGCGTTGTTGTGCGTAGTGTAACATTAAAGGGGCTGCTAGTAGTCGATGAGGTCTCTTCATATTGCTGCGAGCTGGTCGAGAGATCCTTCTTCACTATGCGATGCGTCGTACGCAGTGTCACATTGAAGGGACTTAACGGCGGCGCCTCATCAGCGTCCATATAATCCGATTCATCGCCTGGACTTAACCTGGTAGTCGTGCGTAGTGTCACATTAAAGGGCACAGCAGTGTAGTCTTCCTCCACTTCCACGCGACGCGGCGATGCTTGTGGCGTATGACGTAGCTGCACCTGTTGGAATGCCAGTTTAGCAGCCTCGGCCTCAGCTAGCCCACGTTGCCGTTCCCTACGCAAACGTTTCTCAATCTCCAGCACATCAATATCAAAAGGATTATCCAGCGGCTCAGCAGCGCCAAAGGCATCGTGGCTTGTATACTCTGCAGTTGGCTTCGAAGTTTCCACAAATTCGCGACGAAGCTCTTCAGCGCTTTCGTCCGGTGAACGCTTAAGGCTGCCGCCCGAGGACCAAACCTTTTCATACTCAGCCACTTTTTGACGCAAGCGGTGTGACGGTGTGGTCGGCGTATCCAGCTCTTCCTCTGCAACATATTGCATAGAACTCGAGCTGGAGCTACTCTCATGGAACTCGGTGGAATGGTGTATAATTTTATGCGAGGTATACGTGCGCGTGATTGTCGATGACTCCAGCTGTTCACTTAGTACGTCATTCTCCTCCTCCTTCTGCTCAACAAAAGAGCTGGCTTGCGGCGCAGCTGTTTCAAACGTTGGCGATGCGGTGGAAGGTGCATCAGCTGTGCGATTTAGGCGCCGCGTGCGTGCAGCTGGAATGGGCGTAGGTGCTGCATCATACTCCTCCAGTTTGGTATTACGGGCTCGACCCACAACAGCAGCTGCTGCTGTTGTTGCAATGGGTGGGTCTTTATTTTTTCCTGGGTCTTTGTCCATGACATCGATATGTTTATTGTAGTTGTTGTGCTTGTCATGTATGTCCAGTCGGCAGGACAACACATTGAGTTGGTTGTCTCACGGCTTACGTTGTTGTGTTGTGTGTGTGTACGTCGCACAGCAATGCCCAGACAGTGTTCAATGTAAAATGTGTCTCGGATTGAAACTCCACATGCAAGGAAATCGATTTTTCTAACGAGCACTTAACGCGATTCGCCTGACTGACTTGGTATATGCGTCTGCAGGAAGGAGTTTTCGTTCCCACAGCACTCGCTTGTGGCTTGCGCGTGCCAAAACAAAATTTAACAAAGATATTACAACACAAACTTGGACTATGAAGAAAATTTAATTGCGTCTTGGTGTGCTAAGCAGCACCGCGTCGTGGATTATAGATATGTATGAATTTACGTTTAACAAACACAATTCACTTTTTCCACTCACTTTTTTCACGTTTTGCGCACCCTTTCACTTTAAGGGGCTCTCAAATTTTCATTCATTAATTTTTTTTCCAATTTCTCTTGATTTCTTATTCGTTGATTGATAAATTTTTTCCCCAACAATTTTTCAAAACTACAGTGCAAGTGCTGTACATATGTATGTATGTATATTTTTACCGTAAGCTTAAACGGTTCACATTAAAATGCTAATTCACACAAATGGCGTTCGTTTGAGTAGGTAATTGGGTGGCCTTTTTCACAACTACTTCATACAATCTTTTTTTTTTTCCTTTCTCAAGGTGGGGGTATGCAAAAAAAAAATATTAAGTAGAAAAATATGTATGTATGTACTAAATGATTTTGTGCGTTTTTTCGCCTTTTCGCTGTAGATTATTTTTCCAATCCGTTGCAGTAGAAAGCCGGTTCGATACTGAAATCTAGACTGGCCAGCTAAACCTAATGAGCTGCTTGCGCTGCTACACCTTTTTCTCGTTGCTCCAAAGCGAGCGCTAGCGACACGAAGGCACAGCTTCATTTGGGAGCACAAGCTGGGAGAAAAAAAAACATTGATTTTTGAATGGAAACGAGACGTTGAGCGTCTCCAGCACGCCACACTATTACTAAATGCATATATTTGTACACAAAAACGTAGTATTTAGCAGTAGCACAGAGAGAGCATCGGTATTTTCGACTGAGCTTCTTACTACGTTTTACGTTCGGCTACCATCGCCACTATCCCATCACCACACCACACCACACCACCGTAATATCCGTAAAATACCAGCACAATCTCGTTGAGAATTGGCGTAGTGGACGCATGTTAGCTGTGAGCTTGTGAATCGCTTGTAAAACTGTGCCATCGCAAGTCGACTTATTAGGAGGGTTGATAAGCCCAAAAAGAGTACGTACTCTATACGCCAACTCTGAAGCTCTCTTTACTTGACTTGTTGGCGCGCTTTGTGGGCCAATGCATGCACGCTTTGTTGGTGAGGTGGTTTTGTTTTTTATATGTGACATCATCATCGTAAACATTTCACGCACATTGGACGAGCATGAAAAAAGAAATGAAAACGAAAACTGCGCTACACAGAAAATAAGTGGTCTATTCAGATATAGGTAATAAGTAGAGCTCGACTTTTTCTGTTAAAAATAAGCCTAAAAATATGTACGTACCAACATAACTTTAAAGGGTAGTATTTATGTGTAGGCCTATTTTTTAGCATAAAAATCCGAGCTCAAGTAATAAGAGGTGCCAAGTTTTAGTTTCTTACTTAGCGTTTTACTTATCTCCTGACCAAAAAGTATCCGAAATGTCAGATTTAAATAAATAGCTTGGGTTTCGTCAGATGAGCAGCCCTGGTGATATTTACTTGGAGTCTGCAGAGACCGTTGCGATGGTCATTATCTTGAGCCCAACAAACATTTAGGTTTGAGCTCAACTTGAGGTTAAGTTGACAACTAAAGTATTTTTCGAAAGCCCCTACTTCAGAATCTGGTTGAAGAGCGTCCTATCTTAGAATTTGATTTAATAACGCCTTATCTCAAAAAATGGCTAAAGAACGCCCTTTTTCAGAATTTGGGTGAAAAACGCCCTATCTCAACAAATGGTCTCAGCCGCCGATATAATTAATTTACAATGAGATAGGCCGTTTATGAGCCAATTGCTGAATTAGGGCGTTTTTCAACCAAATGCTGAGATAGGGCGTTCTTTAATAAAATTCCGAAATAGGGTGTTCTTGGAAAATTTGCTGCGATAAGCCGCGCCGCATTTTTGATTTGTGATTTGATTTGTTGGACAAATGAAAATAAAATTTATTTGCGGTTTGATTCAGCGACCAAATAAAAAGCAAATTTCATTTTCTCGAAAATCGTGCTTGCGTTACATAAGAAAAGTGGTTTTAGTTCGAAAATCACGAATAAAATTGATTTGCTCAACAAATCAAATCGCAAATAAAATTAATTTTTTTGTATTTGTTCGACGAATGATATCACAAATAAATTTTATTCGTGGCCATCGATAGTTTCGATAGTCGATAGTCACAACCATCGATAGTATCGATACTGTCGATGTTTTCGATAGTTAAAAACTATCGATACTATCGATAATCCCATCGATAGTTTTCCAGCTCTACCTCATTGTGAAAAATTACTTGCACTGGACACGACGCTCGCAATGAGGCTTTAGGATTTGAATTCAGGATTTCAATTCAGAAATCAATTTTTAATTTGAATTTGGGATTTGACTAATTAAAAATCACGCAAGCCTGATTTCTTGAATTTCCCTTTCACCGCCATGCCGGACAACGGCACCTTGCCCATTAACGGTACGAACTTTTAAGGTGCATACCCACAAATTATATTCTTCGATCATTTTCTGTGTTCGTCATCAAAACTATGTGGTCTTATCCGAAGATTTCTTGCACCTTACATTGGAACTTTTTTTACTGGTCCCAAACCCGCGCACCGTTATGTACGTATGTATGTATACAATTTCATTAAAGAAGATCGTCTTTATAACGCCACGTAACAATATATTGAAGGTATGTATTTGTATAAGTTCATACATATGTATATGTATATGTACATATTTGTAGAGCACTACACTATCTGCGTTCACTTATTGCAAATTTACTAACCTCGCTTTATTTACCTACAAAAGCAAATCTCAAAAAGATCTCTCGAGATAAAAAGCGTTCAGCACTTGGGGCATTTAATTCAACAATTGATAAAAGTAATGCCAATAAAACCACAATACAGTTTCGCAGACAGAATTTAATTCTATAAACATAAGTACATATGTACTTACATACATTAACATTACACTTTCGTTATTGTACAAGGTCAGTTTGGATACTGGAATACCTACATACATTCGTAAATATTTACAAAAACAACAATATGTCTCCATATCCCCAAACAAGCCCCCAGTACAGCCATTTACAATAAAAAACCAACACTTATAAAAATAATATACCAGACTTACATGTACGTATGTACATTGGGGTGGTCCAAAAAAAAATAATAATGTCGGAATTTTAAATGCTCTCACCCCTTAGATTTTTTTTCACCCAAAAAAATTATGCCGCTGCTTTTTTTTGGATATCAAAAAATACTTATATGTCGCTCAAAGTGCTCAAAGTTTTCCATGGATTTTATATGGGGAAAAAACAATTTTTCGTAGAAATTATATAGAATTCTTGAAAATCAATATTTTTCGTTCGGAAATTTGTTTGTTTCTCGCCAAGAAACTTCCAGTAACAATACCCAGTTATTTATTTAACCATTTTCTGTTATCAACTATTTTTTATAGGACCTCTAAAACGACAAAAAATGCAATTCGGTACCCAAAAAAATCGTTGGTATTAAAAAATTGTATAATAAACAATTGAATAATATTCCTGGCAGTCTCCTGAACAGAATCAAAGTTTTCCGATCGAAAAATGTCGATTTCAAGTATTCTATATCATTTGTATGAAATTTTGTTTTTCTCCATATAAAATATAAGGAAAACTTTGAGCGCTTTGAGCGACCACTTAAAATTTTTTGATTTCAAAATAAAAAAGAGGTATAATTATTTTCGGTTTAGAACAATCCTAGGGCATTAAAATTCTAAGTTTACTTTTTCACATGCATATTTGGACCAGCCTAATGTACATACTCGTGTTTATATAAAATCAATAAAACAAAAACACCCATTGCTTTATGGGTCATCATTTATTATTAACTTTTTTTGAATACAACTATTACAAGCGTACCCCCAACATATGTATGTATATATGTGTATGTATGTTTGTACCTGCCCTTGTTGGTTGACATGAAAACATAATAGGTGGCGTTAACTAATACACAAAACGTCAACAGAGCAAAACTCGAAAGAGAGCACAAAAGAATAAGCAGAAACATAACGTCACTCGAGAGGTTTTGTTGTTGTAAGTATTTACAGTCCGCTTCACCGGAATAAGTGCATACTTTTTTTCTGCGAAATCCAAGCAGTGTCATTTTTAAGAATGACTGTTCCGAAGGGTGGTGGAAAAAGGAATTTCCTCTTATACTTTGTTTTTTCTTTTTTTACATTTTACCTGTTTTTTTCTTACTCGTGCGGACCATGGAATACTCACCATCTTACCTGAGGCCTTTCAGCCAGAATAAATGGATCCAAAATGTAGATATGGGCGGGATCTAACTTACAGACACCTAGATTACTGCAAGTTTTTTTTTCAAGCTGAGATCTATGAGAAGTTGTAAGCCAAACTGCGTCTAAGGTATTTATGTTAGGTGTGTAATATCAGGCGAACTAATTTGGATACGTGCAGAGTATTGCGACCGCTCTGAACACAGTGCGATCACATCACGTATAAAATATATAAATATATTGACGCTCCAGGGATTGACTCTATACCGAATAAAGGCGTCACTCAATCTGGCTAAGCATTTACTTGATTGATACCAGAAGGAGATTTGATGATACCAGAAAGATACTTTACATCAATTTGGAAACTACAAAAATTGATCTTGTGTCCCAAGCCATGGAAATGAACAGAGGATCCATTTAGCTTTCGACCAGTAGTAATACAGTTGGTAAAGTTCTGGAGCGTATAATAACAAACCGCCTGTTGGCAGAGATACTCTCTAACGTATGTATTTCAACCAATCAATATGGATTCAGAAAGGGTGGGTCTGCAATCACCGGATCACAGAGGCTAAGAGGTGATATGACAGCGCACAAGGAACGGGCAAAATAGATATCACCGGTGGTGCTCCACAAAAGTCCGTCCCCGTGTAAAACTGCTGCAAGTTCACCGCACACGGATCCAAGCTTGCGGGTTCAAATATTTTTTAAAATATCAAACAGCGGTCTGCTAGTTGTAGTCAACATTGAGAATGAACCCCAAAGTAGCCGTTTATATTTTTCATTCAGAGAGATTCAGAGCCAACATATTAAATGAATGAATTTAAATTACTTTTTTTTAAACTACTTGGTATATTTATGAATATTTAATAAACTCTCGTAACTGTAACTGTAAATGTAACTGTTGGTGATTTTGTTTCTATCAAAAAATATTTCCTATATTAGAAATCCTGCTAAAAAAATTAAGTCGCTAAGCGGAGTTAAATAAAATTAATGATGAATAAAAGTCCCTCTACACCTTTGACCCACGGCTACATACAAACAAACATAAATATGTACATATTTCATTGCCGGCGCTCAATTTGTATGCTATTGAAATTTCTATATAGAAGTTATATAACTATTTTATTAGACTAATTTTCAGTTCATAGGTGTTATTTATGTAGTTCCAAAAAATGACGTCATTGTGGCGCTTTTGCTTCATTTAACGCATAAATTCATTAATATGTAAATGTATGCACTGCAATCAATAGAAATTCGTATATTTGTATGTATGTATGTATGTATACATGCATGTTTACAATTCCAT